CAAAGTAAACCTCTTAAAGCACCACCAGACAGACGTAACTACATGCTACGCCCCTGGGGCTGCTCTTACTCATTTATAAATATCATAACCAATGCGTAGCTTCAAATCAGCCCACTGAACTAAGCTTAAAAATAAACTGAGAATCAAAGAAAGGAGCGGAGACTGTAACACAGTAATTCTTACCAACTTGAGACTGAAATGAACATAAACTACTCACTAGCATCTCACTCAGGAGAAATAAGCCTAGATTCTCAGCTGGTATTAATAAGCTCACTCCATTAAAGACAACAGTTAGGCTGATTTACACCAGCTGATGGCTACTCATCAAGAATTTTGGTTTGGTTTCTTTTGATAGTGAAACAAATGAAACTACACATGAAAATACAGTTCACGTTTTGCTGTCGTGGGTGCACACATAATCTTTGGCTACCTAGACCAAATGCTTGCATCTCTTTAAGAGCACTGGCCTGCAGCCCTATGTAATCGTGACATGGTTTGCCTGAGGTTTTAGACACTCAGCAGCATATAAATAGACCAAATGTGCAGTCCCGCACCAGCAGTGTGGAAAACCTGTGCTAAACCAGCAAGTTTCAGCTGCAGCCTCTGCACTTGTCCCAGCAAAGTGTCAGCATGTTTGTGAAACTGAGTCAACGGTAAAGCCCATCAGCTCCTGAAAGTATGAAGATTGAAACCAGACAAGCCCTTGAGGACAGCAATCAGACTGAAATAAGGGAGGAATACTAGAAGAGGGAGATTTTACTAAAATTTACCAATTGTGACATGGCCCCTTTTCCTGCAGTGTCAAGATGCCTCATTTGGGCTGTTGAGCAATGACACCTGGGCCCAACTGCATGACTGCCAAGCACTCCAAAACAGGGTCCATGCCTGACAGCTGTGTCTTGCCTACAGAACAAAAGACATGAAATGGCCCCTGGTGATAGGCCACTGCCAGAGAATATATGTAGGCACAGACGTATTTCTCTACATAGTCATGCAATGCTGCTGTTTTTTTCCTGCTCCATGACTTCACATCCTGCCTGCAGATCCCTCAGCAGACTGGCCAGTGTGACTGGCATGTGGGCTGTTGCAATCACACGTGATGTAAACGCTGCTGCAGGTGAAACAAGAGAGACTGAAAGAGGAAATCTTATGTTCAGCACGTGAAACCTTACAGGTTGGCAACAGCCTTAAAACCTTTACCACCAGTTCTTACTGATGCGGTTTACTGGGCTACATGCTGTTGACCTGCCTTGTGCAGTTCTCCCTCTGAGCCTACAGCATAACAGAGCTCTGACAGGAGCTACAACTCTCCGTGTTCAGACTAGGATGTTTTGCGCCTATGCGTTGCTTAAGGAAAGCTCACGCTTAACAGGAAGGGCCCTTGGGAGTTTTTAGGCATCTCTTGGGTCCACAGCGTTGAAGGGCTGACTTCCTGGTGTGCCCTTTTGCACGTGGACACCTAAAACTCCACCAAAATCTAAACTCTGTTGTTGGCTTTTGCTCACAGAAACTGTGATCTTAATGTGGTGTATAGCAGGTAATTGATCCCAAATACACCAACCACACAGTTAGACACTGATCCATCAAGTCTCCTCCTCTGCTTTAAAGAAAAGCTTAAAGAAAGAACACACACAATGTAGACAGAGACTGTTCAAGAGTAAGACTAACTCTGCAGCAAGTAGGCCATGGTGCTTCCAGGTACTGAGGACAAGGACAGTGTGGTTACTCTGCAGAGCTTGCTCAACACCACCATTATCATCTCCTATGGAGAAACTCATCTAATGTTACTTCAAGGCTTCCAGGTGTCACTGGGAGACTGTCTTCACTACACTGTATCCCAATCAGACCTTTTTTTCCCCTCCCCATCCATTCAGCTAATCAACAGTTCCAAGTTTGCCTCTATTACCATGAAAGTCCATACTTTCACCTAATTACCTAAACTTGCAGGTAAGCAGTGCAGAAGTCATTTGTCTCCCTTCTAAAACAAATCCCTTAGCTGCATCACTACTGCAGCAAAACAAAACGCAAAGCAGTGCAATACTTCCTTGTGTATGGCTTTACTGCAAAGTCCCACCAAATAGTTCTAGAGAGCCTCATGCTAACACTGATTTAGTGAGGATCTGTTTCTAAATCAAAGATGATTCAAAAATCTACCAGGACAAAGACTGCCGACAGTCAACCCTCCCTTCCTGCAAAAGGAAATGAGGCCATTCAGCACTTTGCAGGAGTTGTTCAACGATTCATCTGGGTAGAGCCCATGTTTCAAATCCCACCAGGCTTTGCGTCTCCTGCAAGCTCAAGGTACGTTTTACAATGAACCTGTATTTGGTTGCAGCAGTCAAGTGATGCAAGGACATGTCCTTGCATTTTCTTTTGTTATTTTAAAAATTTCATCCAACCAATGTGCATGGATGCATTCTATTCTGCAGATCCTATGTATACACTCCTCCTTTTATTAATATGCTACTGCATTGAGCCACTGATCTCAAAAATCACCATTCTAAGATCACATGTCAATCCGAAAGACATTTTATTAACAGTGAACCTCAGTTCCTACACTCTCCTGGCAACCCTAGCAAATTATCAAGCTAGTGCCTGCTATGTGAGCCTGCAGCCAACATTAGCCCTTGGAGGAGAAACTACAAACCTCTTTCTGGGGATTTTAAGACTTGCTTTGCCCAAGGGCTGCCCAGAAAGGGGAGAGGAGACAGAAGGAAGGAAACAGCACTAACAAAAATATCACGGAAGGCACAGAAAGAAGAGCACCAAAGTCACCATTTGACAAGTACAAGGTTTGGCCTCCCCAATAAGAGAAGCTGCTTTTCCAAATGAAATCTGTATTGTCACTGACCAATATGAACTACTTACTGATACAGACTATTTCTTCAAACTTACAGCAATGCTACAGCGAATGACATCTATGTAGAGAGCTACTTACTCAGTCCAAGCTGAGCGATCTCTTCAAGTTCAGCTTCTGTCTTTGCTGCAGCAATAGCATGAGGCAACTTCAGGGTGAATGGAAGGACATCCCTGTTGTCGAAAAGAAAAACAATTATGGTTTTCACAACAACATCCATAGTTTTAAAAGAATTTGTTTTCAACACTGGCAGTGGCTGAGCTCTGATTCTTTTCTTCTTCTTGAGCTGTGGCAGGTAGCAAGAACCTTAAACACACAGCACACAATGCTACATTACCAACCCCAGGGCTCCTTTACATTGGAAAGTGGTGTGAAGTGCAAATGACACTCAAGTCCCAAGGACTCTCTTCAGGCTCACTTCCACAGAGCCATCCAGTATTTTCTCCCATTACAGCAGAAGCTTTTACACCTGGTCTTTTACAAGCATACCAGTGAGATGCAAAAGTGTTATCTGCCCTTAACGCTTCAACGAAGCTTCTTATTTTCTGAATATGCTGTTGATTGCTCTTAAGGTTAAATTGCAGTTCTCAGAATAAAAATTTAAATGAGTACTTGGGCAGCTACCCTAAAAACTTCTAAGCTATGATGTCTTGGTGCTACTCCGTCCTAGGCTGAAAACACACTTCATTTAAGAAAGTCTTTCAATTTATTCTCATATGTGTTTTTTCTTCACTACATACTAGAAGTTCAATGGATGTTTACAAAGGGAGGTGCATGAACAACAACATAAGCCAAATCCAGTGTAAAAAGCTTTTAGACAGATATTTTAAGGGACAAAACTACTTAACCATATGTACATTGTTTGAATACTACCAACCAACACTATACCTCTTGCCCACCCAATTGGTACTGATACACCCTCAAACAACAATGCATGATAAACTGCAAAATCTGTAGTAGAAGTACCTATGTAATTAAGAGTAAATGAGAACAAATGGAGCACAGGAATCCTACATACAACTGGTGTCAGCATAATTTTATTTTTTTTTTTTTTTAAGGCTGTGAACAAGCCAACCATCTAGTGGAAACACAGACAGATAGTGGGTTTTTATCACATAAATATTCTCTATGTTGCATGTTAACTTGTTGAAAAAACAGGATCTCAGACCACCACTCAAATTCAAATCAAGCATATGCATGAGTGATACACTAGCTAAAAAGTACTTGAAAAGACACTTTCAACATCGTTACCACAGATAATCTAGAGTCTAGAACACCATCATGGACTCAATACAAAGATAGGTAACCCTTGACTCCTCATACAAACTGACTAGGTATCTACTGCAAGAAATTCCCTCTGGTTTCAGGAAATCGTCCTGGTTTTGCTGTGATGTACCAAATGGTACTCTCTCTTTCTCACAATAGCTACCCATCTGCTTCCCTAAGAAGCCTACATGTTTTCCTCTTGCACCCCCTGCAATCCTAGACTGCTTCCTGAAGAGGACAATGATGCTGGCTAGATGCTGCCACTTAAGAAACGTTAGGCAAACAGAAACACTTTACGATGTTTCTCCACTAAATGGGGAAATAAGCATCCGCTTCCAAAAACATACTCACAATCAAAGAGTGAGCTTCATTTACTGAAATCTCTGGACAGGTTTGCAGCTGAAGTTGTATTTATCACTGGTATCTGTGGATGGGTTTGCAGCTAAAGTTGTGCTTAAGAAGATGCACTAGGAAAGCCTTAACGCCATGTCTAAGTTGTGATCGTCACTCTTTTCACTTTCTTCCCCTTCCCCAAAGGGCAACAAGGAATAGAACAATAAACAGGTGAAGAGCCTGGTTATGCAGTTTTGTATGTGCTTTCTGAATGGGAGGCCTGACTGCATCAGGATACTAAACTCACACTTGGCTGACTGAAATACCATTAAGAAAATTAAAACCACTTTGCAGAGAGGGACTCTCAGTTACGAAACTCATGAGCAAGGCAACAAGCTACTGTATGTTTGTGGGCTTACTTTTAGCAAATGCAAAGCAACTTGGAGCCTTCAGTGAAAGAAAAGAGGTAGACTAATGCAAAGAAATCTACGTTTGCTGCATGCTCCCTGTAGGCACTTAGAGGGAATTTACCAGAGCCTGGCTAGCGTACAGAACTGAAAGGGTGACAAGATAAGGAATCTCTCAAACTGCTTTTAAATGCAGTTTCAGCTCATTTCTCATCTGAGTGCTGACCTTATTTATGGTCACAAATGACTTATGTGGTATAAACACTTCTTTCATCACATGCATGTACAGCTTGGCAAAATGGAGGCCTGTAACAAAGGGCGTCTAGATGCTTCTCCACCACAAACAAACAGTAAGCATGGCAACCTAAGTGTATCCCTACTGAGCGTTTCCCACACCAGAAATCACCACTGTCAGCACTAACTGGCAACCTCATTGCAGTAAAAGGACCATCAAAGTTGCCTCGCCCCGCTTCTTTCAGAAAATGCGCAGATGTGCAGTTTGGCCGTGTCCTGTCTGTGGATGAATGTAAGGCTTGAGCATTAGTCTGGAAGTTTTCACCAGTAAACTAAAGTCAAATTGAAAACAACTTAAAAAATAAAAAACACCAGCTATTTTTTCTCTGCATACGACCTGGAAAACAAGTTGGGCAACCATAAACTGGAAAGCTGATGAGGCCATTTTTCTTGTTCACAATTTACACATCTCTCAGTTGTCATATTCTACAGTGTGATCTGACATTTTTCCATTATGCTCCTAAAATGCTTTTTACTAGCAATTCCAAGAAGTGGACATTGCAAGATAGTTTATGGTGCTTATTAAATGAGTTACAGAGCAGTTAAGAAAGTACTATAAGATATCAGCTAAAGTTCAACTTAGCAACACCTCACAGTTGGGTGGGTAACATAACACCAGCCTTCCAGCAATCAGTACCAAATAAGACAGAGACACTCGCTTCCAAATTCTCATCTCTTATTTCTCCCATTACCTTCTAAGACTATCCAGAAATGTTTGTAGACTGGCAACATAAATATCATGCTAAACCAAGTCCTTGAGACTTTTTTTCAAGACAGTCTAGCAAATGCAACTCAGAACATAACACCATCTTACCTGCTAATACAGTAGAAAGCAATGAGCCTGAATAAATCAGCAAAACTTATTCCAGACCCCTCCAAGGAAAACGCTGCGAAGAAAGTTACAAGAGGGAAAGAATCACACATCTATTCTCCATTTTCTAGAAAAGCTTAATAAAATGCATCTCAGATTTTTGCATAAAATTAGTAAATTCGCACCATCAAAATAGCTACTGTTTAGTGAAAACTGTATGAAGGAGTATGTGTCTGCTAAAGGCATTTTCAAGAATATACTGACAGTCTTGGTGGTGGGTTTGTTTTTGTATTCCAAACATATGGTCTAATTCCTGGGAAACAGATCAAGTGTGATTAGAATTGCACAATGTTTTGCTAATAGACAATAAATCAATAACTGAGGCTTTGTTTGCCCTGTGTACTAATATACCTAATTTTAAATCTCTTATTTCCTCCTCTTGCATTCCATCCTACTCACTTGACTTCTCCCCAGATGTATTAGCACCTAATGGGAGATGATAAATTTTCATTCACTTCAAGAAAACCATTTAACCTGAAAACCCTTTAAAAAAAACTCAAGACAATTCTGCTTCATGCCATTGCCTTGCACAATGAGGGAGGAAGACACAAGCAATGCCTTTAATTTTTTCCCACTCCATACCATTGTTTCTTATTGATATAAATACTTGTTCACAGTAATAATGACATAGAAGTGTGTTGTGGTTTAACCTCAGCCAGCAACTGAGCACCACTCAGCCACTCGCTCACTCTCCCCCACCCCCGCTGCGATGGGGGAGAGAATCAGAGGAGTAAAAGTGAGAAAACTTGTGGGTTGAGATAAGAACAGTTTAATAATTGAAATAAAATAATAATAATAGTAATAATAAGAGTAATAAGAAGAATATACAAAGCAAGTGATGCACGATGCGGTTGCTCACCACTCGCCAACCGATGCCCAGCCAGCCC